AGATTAGTTTACTAACTAACTAATATTCCTGTTATCAATTCTGTTATAACAGAATTTGACAGCTGTACAAGATCCACTATTCTTTTATTATTTCAACACCCCCCTTCAAGCTTAGGTGGTGAAAAATGTTTAAGACGCCTAGCTTGGACATCAAATGATAATGCTGAACTCCTCTAAGTCCCTTTGTCAATAGGTCTGCCTCCTGCTCATTTGTTGAAACATACTCTGGATGTATTAGCCCTTGCTGAACCTTTTCCCTTATGAAATGGCATTCTATTTCTATGTGCTTTGTCCTCTCATGAAACACAGGATTGCTTGCTATATGCATTGCAGCTTTACTATATGTAAGTAGTCAAACTGGTGTAGTTATCTCCACTCCCAAAAACTTAAACAACCCCAGCAACCAAATTAATTCTGATACTGTCAGTGCCATGCTCCTGTATTCTGACTCAGTTGAGCTCCTTGCCACAGTGTTTTGTTTCTTTGACTTCTAAGAGATTAAGGATTGTCCAAATTTCACAATATAGCCAGTCACTGACTTCTTGAATTTGGACAACTTGCCCAATCAGCATCACAATATGCTGTGAGAGAAGCACTTCCTTCTGCACTTAGTAAGATTCCCATACCTGGTTCATTCTTTATGTATCTTATAACTCTGTGTGCTGCTTCTAGGTGAGACTTTTTAGGATTTTGCATAAACTGACTCAAGGTCTGAACACTATATGCAATGTCTGGTCTGGTTAGTGTCAAGTATAGCAATTTTCCTATCAGTCTCTGATAACCTTTGATATCACTCAGCAGTGCATCATCATGCAGGCCACAATGTTGGTCATACTCCTGACTTGTGAGCTTCTGATTTTGTTCAAGTGGTGTCATTACAGTTTTGGATCCTGCTAGTCCTAGATCAGCAATTAGTGCCAGTGCATACTTTCTCTGGCACAATAGAATCCCCTTCTTGGACCTGCAAACTTCAATTCCTAAGAAGTATTTCAAAGACCCTAGATCTTTGATCTTAAAAGCTTTATGTAACACATCCTTAGCCTCCTGAATTAGTCCCTCATCATCTCCTGTAATCAATGAGTCATCTACATAGACCAATATAATCACCTGCTTGCCATGCCTTCTTAAGATGAATAATGAATGATCATGTTGACTCTGACTGAAATGTGCTGCTAATAGGGCATTAGTAAGTTTAAGGTTCCATTGTCTGGATGCCTGTTTGAGACCATATAAGGATTTGAGAAGCCTGCAACCCTGATTCTGCCCCCCTTGGCTACCAAATCCAGGAGGAAACTGCATATAAACCTCTTCTTCAAGATCACCTTGCAAGAAGGCATTATAGACATCCATTTGGTATAAGTTCCAGTTGTGCATGGAAGCCAAAGCAATGACAGCCCTGACTGTAACCATCTTGACAACAGGGGAAAAAGTTTCCCTGGTAATCTAGACCTTCAAGTTGGCTGTACCCTTTAGCAACCAACCTAGCTTTAAACCTTTCAATGTCCCCATTGGAATGATACTTGATCTTATAGACCCATTTACAGCCAATAGGAACCTTCCCTTTAGGAATATCAACCACCTCCCAAGTCTTGTTGTTAACAAGGGCTGTGATCTCAGTCTGCATAGCAGCAAGCCATCTGTGACACCCTCAGCATAAGAAGAAGGCTCAACTTCAGAAGAAATGGAAGCCATGTAGGATTGGCAAAGTGGATTAAAAGAGGCATAACTAACATAATTTGAGAGGGGATAAGAGCAAGATTTGTTTCCTTTGGAAGGGCAAACAAAATCTGTCATCCAAATAGGTTGTCTGGAAGGTCGACAAGACTTTCTTGTAGGTGAAGGAGGACCAACAGTGGTCTCAGCATGAACTGAGGACTCTGCAGAAACAGGCTCATCAGGGGAATGAACAACCTCAGATGCAACAGGAGGTGGATAGCAATCATCAGACGTAGTCTCTAATTCTGGGAAAAATCTATTGTTATCACCATGCTTCAACTGGAGAAAAGGAAATATATGTTCCCTGAAGGATATATCCCTGCTCACAAAGTATCTCTTGGACTTAAAATCATAAAGTCTGTAAGCCTTTTGTGTAGCAGAGTAGCCCATGTGTACTGTATCAATAGCTCTAGGAGAAAATTTATCTATTTTCTCAGTAACAGTTGCAAAACACAAGTAACCAATAACTCTGAGATGGGAAAGTGAATGTTCAAATTTGTGAAAAACTTCATATGGTGATTTTCCAGCTAATACAGTAGATGGTAGCCTATTGATTAAGTAGACTGCTGTCAGAATACAATCTCCCCAGAAATGGAGCGGTAGATGCCCTTGAAACCTTAGAGCTCGTGCCACTTCTAAAATGTGTCTATGTCTTCTCTCCACTACTCCATTTTGTTGTGGAGTATGTGGGCAACTACTTTGATGCCCAATTCCACTTTGGAGTAGGAAATCTGTACACTCTTTACTAAAAAATTCTGCACCATTATCTGTTCTTATCATCTTAACATGCCTATCAAACTGAACAGTTGTCATTTTAATAAATGATTTAAGCAAAACAATAGCATCACTTTTCAATTTCATCAGAAAAATCCATATCATCTTAGAATGATCATCCACAATAGTGAGAAAGTATCTATGACCAGCAGTAGTAGGAACCTTGTAGGGTCCCCAGATGTCTATATGAAGCAACTGAAAAAGTTATGTTGATCTAGTAACACTATGAGGAAATGGTTTCCTAGTTTGTCTAGCAACAGGACATACAGTGCAATTGTCAAAACTGCAGACTGACACTTTATTTTGTAGGAAAGACAACTTCTGCATAACACCAGCTGGGATGTGTCCAAGTCTTTTATGCCATGTTTGAACATCATCTATGACCTTTTCTGCAAGGCTGCTGCTGCTGCTTGTTCTACTGCAAATCTTCTCAGAATTTTTTGGCTGTAAGAGATAGATGCCACCCTCTTCCTTACCAATCCCCCTTCACTTTCCCAGTATAAAGGTCCTGGAAGACACAAAAGTGTAGGAAAGAATATCACTGAGCAAGATAATTCTTTTGTTAGTTTTGATACTGATAACAAGTTATACTTGAAATCAGGCACATATAAGACATTTTCCCATGGCATAGCCACCTGCAATTTGACATGTTCCTTGGTAATCAACTAGCACTATCTTACCATTTGGAAGATACACATTACTTCTCATTGTGTCATATGTGTTGGTCACATTAGTCAATAAGTGCAAATTACTGGTCATGTGGTCTGTGGCTCCAGTATCAATTATCCAAGCATCTGTACAATTTTGCAATGAATGAGAAACAACATTACCTGCCATGGTGCCTGCTTGTTCAACTCCTTTACCCTTGTCTAGCATGCTCATTATTTGACTATACTGTTGATCAGTAAAATAGTTTGATCCCCTTGAACCTGACTTGTTGCAAATGTCAAGATTTGGCTAATGAGAAGCCTGTGACTGTGACCTTTGTGTTATCTCACCTCCCCAGCAGCATGAACCATGTTAATCCTCTGATTATACTGTTTTTGACCATTTTCACTATTTCCAGCACTATTACCTCTGTGACCAGCATCTCCCCTATCATTTACAGTATCTTGCATGAC